GACAATTGGTGCTAATTAACTGAACAAAAGAAAGTGTGCAAGGGAGTCTGGTAGTAGAGGTCAATGACGCCATCATGCAAGCGTCTTATTTCAAAACTGAAACAGCTTTCTGGATACGAAATGTTCTCGAAATACGGCTAGCCGGCGTTTTCAAATTGTTCCACTCTGGAGACCGTATTCGAAAAAAAATCGTTTTCGGTGAAGAATTGTTCCGGATTGGCTCGGACTAGTGTGGATGGAAGGCCTAACTGAAAAATAAAGTTGCGGATTCAAATCTATCCGGCATAGTGTGGACGGGGCCTCAGTGCTGAAAGAAATCAGAAGTGAAATTCAGAATCTCTCTCAAACCGGAAACCATCTAATAGTTAATTGKGGTGATAATAGCGCAGCGCAGTTGTGACGTCATAAAAACGAAGACAAAGGCGAAATTCGGACAAACAAACTGATAAGTTTACTTTCAGCAGATAATTTTCACAGCCGATCGCAGTTGATCTTAGTTTACATGGGTTATTGTTATAACTTTAAGTAAAAATAATAAAATCGGTTCGTATAATCCTCGTAGCGATTAAACAGAATGCAATGTTTGTCCGAAGCTTTAAGCTATTTTTAGAATCAGTGCGCTGCGCTATTGTATCATCACTCTATAATYCCATAGAAGCAACTATCGTATCATTTTCAATTTCTCTCTCCTTATCCAATTAATGATTAATTAGAATCGCTTCCTTTCGCATTTGTTACGCCACAAAATGTAATAACTCGCACAAAATGTATAATAACAACGCAAAATGTAATAACTTTTGACGCAAAATGTAATAACTTCAATAACGCATCTTAAAATCATTGTTTACTGAATGGACGTAAACGACACAGTAGAACCGAACAGAACAGAATAGAGAATCGTCTGGGGGAAAAAAACTGGTTAGACTACATTACGAGATATTAAACAACTGCCCGCGACTTTTTTTGCTAAGATTAGATGCTAATTTTTATGTATTTTTTTTATTGCAAATTGATGAACATTATGACTAATTAATTCATGTTATTTTGGTACGTTTTTTACCATAATGTGGTAAATTTTTTAAAGTGTTATGTTGATCCTGAGTGCGCTTGATATTGGTGATATATATGAAGAGTTGCTGATTTTCCCCTCAAATATACTACTGTTGGAGTGAGTGGACTTGCTTTGTAAAATCCACACGTTGAAATCATGTATTCAACATGAATATTTATCTTGACGGTTCATGCGAAATTCAAGTTTAAGTCATCTGGTATGGTTCGTATACAGAACAAATATTGATTTTCTGGATATTTAAAATGCGTTATTGAAGTTATTACATTTTGCGTCAAAAGTTTTTCATTTTGCGTTGTTATTACATTATTACGTTTTGTGCGAGTTATTGCATTTTGTGGCGTAACAGCATTCTTTCGAGGGAAAACTATGACTTATGGAAACAGTCTGGTATAGTTTGGGATGATATAATTAATCTGCAATAGTGGGACTACATGTCTGTCCAATTTGGAAACGATTAAATTCAAAAAAATCCTCTGACTGCCAAATTAGACTCGGCCTATTGGTCTCTTCCAATTTTGTCAGTCTTCGGATTTTTTTTCATCCAATAAATAGCCCTGGATCCTCCTCTTATTCACTGTACTCTATTAGATGGTTATCGCGGTTTAAGAGAGATTCCGAATTTCACTTCTGATTTCTTCCAGCACTGAGTACCGCACTGCAATTATGATTAATAATAAGGTATTGCTCTAGCATTTAATAAAGACATGTTCGACTAATTTGACAAATAAAAGTAGCC